CTCCTCTGCATCTGACGATCAGGCTCGTGGACGATGCAACGTCATTGAGTTGATCAAGCTGCACTTGGGCCAAATACTCGAGAGTAATTCGTTATACCTTCGCATTTCTAAGACGGCGGGAGGCGAGCGTCCGCCCACAGACGTCATGCATGCCCTTTGATAAGTTGCATGAAACTCCAGCCGCTGATGCAGCACAGAGTGCGACGCGCGATGAGCCAGCGGCGGGTAGCAACTCGGAGTGGGAAGAGCGAAGTGATGGCTCTCATTCGTGCAGACAGTGTGGCCAACGTTACAGCAGCGTCATATGAGTTTTGGATCTGAAAATCGCGACGTCCTGAAAAGCCACCTACGAAATAGAGACATCAGGGTTGGCGTTGACTTGCATGTCAGACGCGGCCTTCCACACCATGTATCTCTCCTATTTGGAGATACCCCAACGGGCGGGCTAATGCAATGCTCTCTTCATCCTTTCGTATAATGGCGAATGAAAATGACCTTGCTTCGCTCTTGTGCCGAGCGTCCGCAGCCTTCCTTCGATCCTGACACGGGTTTGGACCAATGCTGCCAGGAGGTGGGCTGAGAATCGCTAACGGGGTTCGCGGAGAAGACGAGGCCGAGAAATATGTCAGGTGCTCACTTGTGTAATATTGGTCTGCTTGGGGCTGTTTATCATTGGTGGCAACAGGCAGAATTAAAGCCGCTTTGCCGTTTTTCCAAAGTCTGTCTGAATGGCCACGACAGATAGGGGACTCGTGGCCTTGTAGACAGCCTCGGGCCTAATTGGTTACAACGAGCTGTCGAGTCAGGTCCCAAGACTTCAGATTTCTCCCCGAGGTCGACGTCCATCGAGGCTGGGAGGTAGCCGGCCACTTGGAAGAAAACTCTAATAGCGACCACGTAAGGTGGCCACTGGTGGTTGGGTTAGAAACATCGTGGGAATAGTCAGCATAGATATTGCCTTTCTTCGCATGGAGCGCATCGACCAACAGCTTGGTGAGTGCATGTCGCTGCCGATGACATCCTTGCTGGGTGGTAGGGTGGACCTGTGGAAATTTTTTGACTCTGACCTTGGTGACATACAGCCTCTTGAACACAATCCAACAGTAAGCAACGAATGCATTTTTCCCAACATCGATGGTGGGGGCGGACGCTTGGGATTCACTACTGCGTAGGACTGTACCTAGGTATTTGGATGGTAGTGCATCACTGATCGTACCCGGCCTCATGACCACCAGCGACCCCAGATTTGCACACGGTTGCGGGTTAGCGCGGGCACTCGGACCACTCTAAGGTCCACAAAGGGCCACAAGGGGGAGAGGGCCGCATGAGTGATTCGGATCAGCATTTCTTCAGAGGTGATCCGAAGCTCATCCAGAACGTTAGTGGTACGGTCCTCCGTGCATCTTTAACTCTCCAGGATCGGCAGATTGCGGCATCCTGTCTCTGCTGTGGCGACCGTCTAGACCCAAGGGCTAGATCAAAGCCTGTCTAAGCATCTGCTCGGAGATCAAAATACGAGGTATAGTATTCTCGTCGACTCGTAGGCGCGCCCGGGACCTGTGAGATCGAACAAAGTTATAGCCAGCCCGGGCGTACTCAGGTCCTGGTGGAGCTGTTCAACGAAACGTACTTGAGTTGAGAGAGCGCCGGTTCAGTGAGATGCCGGGTTCATCGTATCACTGTTGTTATCAAAGAGATCCAAAGGACAATAGTGGGTGGCAGGTGTCCACTGGCGGACCTGTATTGGTGGGGCTCGCAGTCATTTACCGTTTGGTGTACGAGGAATTGATGAGGTATATTCTCGAAGATGGTAAAAAGATCAATCCCAAACTCCGGGCAGCACAGTAAACAGCAGCACTTGGGGCTAGGGAACGCTATAGGTGCATTAAGTTGACAAGCGCCGATAAACATTGGTGTCTTCGCATCGAAATTTGGAACTCCAGCGGGTTGCAGAAGTCGTGCAGGTTAAAGAACGGAAGTAGATGATCCTTAGTAGAGCAAGAGGAGCTTGGGCCACTGGCAAAGCTAGCACTGCCCACTGGGGATGGAATAATGACAATGTGGATCCTCCTCCTCCATGTGTCGAACGAGTACGAAGGTGGGTTCATGGGTATGCACCATGAGTCGCAGTTCCTCCGGACAGACGACTAGGATATTTTGGGGAGGACGGGAGGCATTGAGCCATGTCAAGGGATGGAAGGCATTTCCGACAAGTTCGTCCCCTAGCTGTGTAGTGAACCATTAGTGAAGTGTTGATCACTGGGCTGATCGTGATTACGTGCAACCGCACGAGAATCGTAGGCCACGGGTTGGTGACGCTTACCTGAAAATCTGGGGAGAGAGTCACCAGAGTTGAGAGACAGATGGGCGCCGGAGAGAAAGGTTTCAGCAGCGTTGTGCGTTGATCTGAGAACCCTTGAGATGAGCTGCATGCCGGTCAATGCAACAGGGAACCACTGCGAATCCACCTCATCCACCAAGAAAAGGAAGTTGGCCCCGGTCGATTCGACGGAGGCGTGATGTGCTTATTTTTCTGCGCCACACATGGTTGGCATTTGACGGCGCCTGCAAGGACAGGTGAAGAGATGCTGGTTGTTGAGAAAAGGGACCCAGTAGCGGTGCAGCTAAAGAGGATCGAGGGAGACTTGAACGGCGACAAAATCACACTTGGTCACCCACATTTCTCGTTCCTTCCCGTGGAGCCGAATCTTGGCTGTGTTGAAGAGGGATTGTGTACTCTCTACAAAATACCGCAGTTCATTCGCATGAAATTCGCCAGGGCGACTTTGTAGACAAATGCCTAGAAAAAGGGTACAAGGTGAGAACTGCAGGGCCCAACAAAGTAGGGTTTGGAGGTGGCTAGGACTTGAACAACTGCGGGACCCAAACCCACTGTATTCACAGCCCAAACAGGGCGTAACGAGCTAGAGGGGGGTCGCCATCAAAGCCTATATCATGTATCGGTACCGGTTGTTCGTGAAGAAAAGACACTTTATACAGGAACATGGGTCCTAGCAGGCGACTCAAGTCCCTACCTAGGTTGGTATCTAGGTACCTCGTACGCCTGTGCTGGCTATACAGAGATTCATGACAGACCTACCTGGTGGTAAGTAGCACCTGTAGTACATAGCATGGATACATAAACACCCCTCCCCTCTCCTGCGCCCTTTGCGCCCCTTGTGCCCCTTGCGGCTTTAGCTTATAGGCATAGGCGTGCCTGGATATACTCGTACTCACCCAACTGCAACACCTGCAGATTGCAACCCAGTTATGCCCAAGTGCTCCATCCGATGTGTGTGTGGCACTTGTTTTGCACGACGTCAGCTAGACCTCTTGGACTTTAGCCTCAGAAGGAAATCACAGGCCACCCAGGCAGGGCCTTGTACCGGTTGTAGTGCGGCAACAGTCCGCACCCCAGGGGGTTGCACAAATTGGCGCTGCCCAATAACAGGCATACAGCCTAACCAAGGCCCTGTCGAAAGCTGCTGTTCGATTCGGTCGCTTCTTGACACTCCAGACTCTCCGGGCTCCAGCTAAAAATTCTACTCCAGAGTCTCTCCAGTGTCTCTCCAGCTCCCCAAGTCTCCATCTCCCAGACCTTGTTCTGCGTTGTGGCTGCTGAGGGAGAAAAAAAATCTCACTGCAAATGCACTTTGTACACCACCAATTCCTCTAACGAGAAATCGCTCTCTAATCTATTCTTCCTTTTTTTTCAACTTTTCCTTTTCTTTCTTTCCATCTTCTCACCCACCCCCCCTCTGACGTCTCCCGTCAATTTTCCGAATATCGTTTTCCTGCTTACTCTTCCCATCACCAGGTCTCGTCCGTACTACGATCCACGCGGTACCTTTGCGACCTGGACCATTCGTCGAGTTGGGAAAAAGAGAAGAGAAACACCGAAGAAACATTGAAAAACCACCGAGACACCGAGGACACTGAGACTGCTTATACGAGTGGACGTCTCTTCCCGTGAAACTTCCCCAGGTCTCCCCCCCGAGTGGTATCCTCCTCTCTCTTTGCTCATCCTAGCAACCCCAAAAAACGGCGTGGCTTGGAACGCTGCCAAAGCTATACCTACTGTGTAGGCATTCCCAGGGTCATATCCGACGAACAAATTGATCCTCGGCCGGGACCACCTTTCTTGTACTGGGTCTCTCCAGAAGCCGGCCGACCCTCTGGCCAACGGGCGTTCCAGAACAAACAGCGACCTGCCAGAAGTGGCAGCCCTACCAATCCCGTGGCTTCTCGTACAGCCACCCTGCACGCTTGAAGGCATCCGTGGCCGCCAACCACCATTGCCTCCCACCCACCTGTGACGTGCCAAAACTCTGAGGGCAATTCATCTCGCCCTGTCGGCCTGTGGCCAAAGTAACTATTTTCTTCCTCGGTCGTCAACTTTTCGCATTTTCACGACTTTGTCACTGTTGGTATCTTTACCCTGGTAAGTGTACAAGCCTTGCGTCGACGTTGTCGTTCTTAGACCATACTCAATGTTGCAACGGCAATACCTTACCCCAAGTACTAAAAGCTGCGTACCTAGACTCGAGTATTGCTCATGTACATGATCTCTTAAACTCCCAATCATCTTCCTTGATTACCACCTTTCTGGGACTTTGTGTACAGTCATTGATTATTCGTGCCTGGAGCATCGGATTTCTCTTTCAGATCCGCCTGGAGCGCGACCAATACCTGCGAAAATTCCTGTCCTTGAGCGGCCTGGTGTATTGTGACGTTGTCTTCCAGGGTTGAGTACATATGGTACATTGAAATCAACCTTTGACAAGACTTGAGGCATATTTTCAAAACTTTACGGCTATATCGCAGAAACCCAAGAACATTGCTTGCGACATAGTTGTATTGCGCATGCTTCTTCCTCAACTGGCTTTCCCGTCCCCCGCTCGAGGCTTCGCGACCTCTTGACAGAACCGAGAACTTGGAGTTTTTTGGGCCAAGTACTCAGCGCGCAAAGAGTGCGCAAAAGCAACAGAAACTGAAACCAGATGGCGGAGGAGGTTAACACTTCGCCCGTCGACACCATGGACGTGGCCTCGCCCGAGGCAGCTTCTGCAGAGGGACCTTCAAGTGAGACCGCACTAGCTGCCTCAGAAACTGGTATGTCTTTCCAGCCCATGGCTCGACCTTCTGTGCCTGAGACTCATTCCCGCCTCTCAGCGAACGAGACACCAGCCGGCAACAAGGCTGCATCGACCAAGATACCCGCTGTATCCAAAACTATTATGCCGACTTCGGCTTTTCCTCCTCCAAAGACAGATAAGCCCCGGCCTCATGTGTGCTTGACCTGTATGCGATCCTTTGCTCGCCTAGAGCATCTGAAACGGCATGAGCGATCACACACGAAGGAAAAGCCCTTTGCGTGTCCTGAATGTACTCGCTGCTTTGCTAGGCGTGATCTATTACTCCGACATCAGCAGAAACTCCACTCCTCTACCACACCATCAGCACGCCCTCGGTCTGGACGTAGGGAAAGTGTTGCGGGAGTTGCCAGTGGTCGTGTTCGCAAAAACTCCACCACGAGCAATACGACAGCCATGAGACCAAGAGCCAACACGGTCAGTCATGTTGATTCTGCCACCCGGACGCTGAGTATGATGTCCGAATCTGTTGGTAACTTCGGCCGCCAACCTTTGAGCGGCGGTCATAGCCACCACAACAGCATGTCGGCCATCTCAAACATTCACGCATATCAAGTCCGCGGTGCAAACGGTCATCAGTACGCTTTGAATCTTCCAAAGTTGGAGACTGTTGGACTGCCTTCTGATATCTCAGGCGGCCTCCGCACGGCGCCTCCCTACGGAGGATTCGGTGCCGAGTTTGGAAATGATTTCGACTCCGACCAGGGAAATACCATCAATCCTCACGCTCTGCATATGACCAACTTGCAAGCGCTGGGTGTCGACTCGTCCATTTCACATTTCCACCAAATGTTCCCTGGGATGACAGCTTCTCAAGCCATGGCTGACGACGATTCGAATTTCGACTGGATGACCTTGGGCTTTGAGAATCAGATGTCCTTCACTCAGGCCAATGAGAACGCAATTGATGACTCTTCACCCTCGGCCATGAGCACTGGCAGTCCGGCACCTTTACATGAGCTGAACGGTGAATCGAATATGGCAGCAATGCAACATGCTTCAGTAACCGCAGGCAGTATGTGGTCCACCACTCTTGCGGCCCACGTGCCACTGTTAAACAGTCCGATGAGCATCGAAATGTTGTCCAGCTTTAATGACGTTGTCAACGCCCCCATGGGGACAGTGTCGCCAAAATCCTTACTGGGTCAAGCAACTGCTATGGATATCAATCTTCCTACTCCGCCAGATTTTGTCTCTGTGGACGCTTCTGCCGTGCACTCGAACCCCCAATTTACTAGTTACCAGCTCTCCTTCGCTGGAGATGGTCCTGGCTCTACCACTTCCACTGCCTCAATGGACAGCAGTCTCCGTCAAAGCTCGACCACAACCGCGTCTACAGACTTGGTCAGCGATCACATTCGGAATGTTTTGATCGCCGGACTTTCTCAGAATGTAGGCTTTGGACAACGAAAGTACTCCCAACCAGCAATCAGTTCGCCGCTGTCTCCAGGCTCAAATACACGCACGAAAGGGTTTAACGCCAGCACTTTTCCCAGCACACATGATCTACAGCGATATGTTTCTGCGTATATCAAATACTTCCATCCGCACCTTCCCTTTCTACATATTCCAACCCTCAACTTTGCGTCGCCAGACTACACAACTCCAATCAGGCTAGTGTCTGGCCATTCTCAGTTTGGCCAGGCTTCGGTGGCAGGCGGAGGCAGTTGCTTGATCCTAGCAATTGCTGCTATTGGTGCCCTCTACGAACACGAGGTGCCTCAGTCTAGAGAACTTTTCGAGTGTGCCAAGCGTCTGATCAGCAGCTATCTTGAAGAAAGGCGCAAAGCCAACCTGACCAAAACCCAATTTGGACCTCGACACTCTGCTGAGCGAGAAGACACGCCACTCTGGTTGGTTCAGGCGATGCTTCTGAACGTGATTTATGGCCATAATTGTGGCGATAAAACGGCAGCTGAGCTGGCAAGTAACCATTGTGCCGCCCTGGTTAGTCTAGCTCGCGGAGCCGAGCTTGCAAAGCCTCCTCAGAGCTACAGCGGAACAAGCATCAATGCGAACGTCCAGATGGGTGGAATGCCAAACCATGGCTGGGGCTCGATGGCCAGCGAGTTGGACGATTCTGACTGGTTGGAGTGGAAAATCATGGAAGAACGCAAGCGAACTTTGTATGTGGTGTTCATCCTTTCGAGTATGCTTGTGACGGCTTACAATCATCCCCCCGCACTCACCAATTCCGAGATCCGATTGAATCTGCCCTGTGCGGAAGAACTTTGGTCAGCTGAGTCTGCGCAGACATGGCGCCACCTGGGGGGACCTGGCGCGGAAACGGGAGCTCTTACCTTTGCCGCCTCGTTGACACATCTACTTATGTCCGCGCACAGACAACGTCGGCGGAACAGCAACGTGAATCCGCTCGGGCTTACTAGCGAACCAGAGCTCGCGCCGAGCACATTCGGTTGCTTGATCCTGATCAACGCTCTACATAATTACATCTGGGAGACACGGCAGCGACACTTGGGACGTCAATGGACCGCAAGCGAGACGGAGCAGATGCATGCACACATCGAACCAGCACTCACTGCCTGGGAAGCGGCATGGGCGAGCAACCCCAAGCATAGCATCGAACGACCCAATCCTTTTGGAGATGGCCCCTTGTCGGCGGACTGCGTCCCGTTACTTGATCTCGCTTACATCCGGCTGTTTGTCAATTTCGGCAGGTCCAAGGAAGCGTTCTGGCAACGGGACTACGATGCTATGTCGGAAGAGCTGGCCAAGGGCTCAGAAGCGGTTCCGAGCCAGGACACGGGAAAAGCGGACCAAACCACCAACCCTCCGTCTCAGAAGCCGGAGAGCAAGAATCAAGAGCAAATCCCGACCCCTGTGGAAGAAGGCGTGAAACTGGAAGCGGTAGAACACGAGAATGGTAGGAAATCCCTACCATCTCGGCGTGAGCGACATCTTCGGAAGGCTGCATTCTATGCCGCCGATTCTTTGGCCATGTCAGACAAACTCGGTCTGAGTTTTGCTGAACATACCTCTCGAGAGCTACCAACACAGTCAGCTATGTGTGCATTCGACTGCGCGCAAGTGTTGGCAGAGTGGATCGCAACTGTCCAAGAACGGGTTGGCAGATACCTAGGCGTCATTGGGCGGGACGAGATGAATCTGGTCGAGGTGCCAGGCATAATCCTCCTCGAAGATGAAGATCGGACACTGATCCAGAAAATCGACGAAATCCTGACGAGCGCTGAGAGCAAGGTCGAAACTCAGGGTGGATTTGATCTTTCCGACGCTCGAGAAGGAGGTTACGGCAGCAGAATCCTAACGCTGACAGCATACATACTGGGAAGGGATTCCGTGTGGCCCGGTAAGTCAATATCCATGTGTGGGAGCAAATCGTGCTAATCCTGTACTACAGTCTTCAAGCTCATGGCGCGGTCACTTGAGACCCAGGCAGGGCATATCAAAGAGCGAGCATTAGCTTCAGTTTCCAGCTCGTAATCACCAACAGAGGTCAGACTGCAATCTTGAGGTCATCTTGACCAATATAATCTATCCTTCTTTGTCGAAATCACGACGGATGCAGGTTTGATTGAGACAATTGTTTTAATCTTGACGACGCCAGTCGATATGAATTATCAGGACATATGATCACAATATACCCCAGAGAAACGAACCTGTGACACGAAAAGTTTGCAGATACGAGCCATTTCTGGCTCAAGGACATACCAAAAAGTGCGGGATTTCACGAGGAGTACATACGGGACTTGATCACGGGAGGGAAGGACTCGAAATTTCTCTCGTTGGGCGGATTGACCGCTAATGATCAACGCAATCGAAGAATGTAATTGTACGCCGGGAGGGAAGATGTCGATGGACAAAAAGCACAAAGGTCGAAGGCGACCGACACGAGGCTCATCTTTATGGCGAACAGTGAGTTGGATGGCTTATCAGTTGGCTAGCTTGATTCGCTGTGTGGAAAGAATCTCTGAGTCGAGCAGTACCCAGCTTGCAAATTGCGCGTGGGATGAGAGTAATGACAATCAGGACTGCGGCCCGATAAGCTGCGTGTATATGGCCAAAGTTGGTGGCTTCTTTCCTTTCTGTCCTGCTCGTATCTGCGGGACAAAGTCATGCCTTGGAGTGGGCAGCAAACCTGTTCTTGTTTTATTTCCTTTTTTTCCCCCTTCCCTTTCCTTTTTCCCGTGCGTGCATTGATATGCAGTATTGGTGGATCGTCTTCGACCATGAGTGGACGATAAGTCAGTACTGCTGTCACATGTTGGCCTGGGGTACCGAAAGGTGAATCGAAGCGACCACCAAAGTACCAATAACGGGGCGAGAGTTTGAGGGGATACAGCCTCGAAGAATGCGATTAGTCCTTCCGCGGTCAAGTCGGTCAGTCTGGCCAGCGGTCAGAATTGACCTACAGCGGGAATAGTGGATTGGGTAGGGCCGTGATTTCAGATAGCCAAGAGTGCCTGTTCTTCTTGATTCGAGCACGCTTGGAGCCCATCACCAGCCATTGACCAACCATAAAGCGCTGTGATAGAGTCAACATCCCGCTCTCTCGTGTGGATTCCGAGTGGCTTAGAAGGGTGAGAGGAGTTGAGGGCACCGAAGATAAGCGGGATAAGACGATACTCTGAGTCGGTACTTGGTTGGGGTCTGTCTGCCTTCTCAGGCTGATGAGAGAGCCATGAAGAAAGGTGAAGGGATAAATTTAGCGGCCTTGGCCACTGACCCAGAGATGACCCGTGGTCCTCGTATTCCCAGGGATGAAGCCGAGTGTCCGATAAACAGGCGTGGCATGGGCATGGCAAAGGTTTGTGGTTGGTCCAGGCGCCAATACTCGGGCAACTGATTGCCTGCGTTCAACTGCGTGGGTGGTCAACTGGCTCCACAAAGGGAGCTGCGTACCCCGTTCTCATTATATCCGGGTAGTTACTATGCCGCAGGGCCATGCCCACGCCCCCTCCCCCAAGCCCTCGAAGCTAAGCCCAAGACCCCCGAATCTTCTTCGACAAGGCTCGGCGCCTTATTAGTGCTGCCCTCCAAAAAAAAAGACATCCACTCCTCACGTCAATCACGGTGCTCAGTCCTTCTTTGTCACCTCAGATCTTCCCAGTACCCAAGACCGCTTCTTGCTGAGTGTACTTTTTCCTCAATTGCCACAGCATAAGCTCATCATTATTGTTGCCCAGATTTCTTCGAAAGGACGCTTCATTTAACTGAAGCTTTCCCCTCCCCACCCAATTCTATCTCTACCAGATCCCAGCACGGTACATATAACAGCCCCCTTGGACCGGATTCTCCGTCCTACCCCTCGATCCTTTCATTCATCTACCACCGTGCACTTCTGCGATCTGGATTCTCTACACTCACTATAGACATCCTTCCTCCGCCGCGGCCGGGTAGACCAGTTTCTTTCGAGATAGACCCCCATCTATTCCTCTCCTCGACGACACATATGTTGGCAGACGCTCTCTGAATGCGGCGAGTTCTGCATCACGATCTTCACCAAAGAGAAGGAAGCGACTGGGGATAGAGGCGATATAACTTTCTTTTGTCGATATAAATCAATATCTGTCCTATACTCTAGAACACACGGGAGGAATCTGTGACTTGGTGCAACCAATATTGGCTACAATTCCTCATTTTCAAGCCACACCTGCTGCTAAAAGGCTCTCACATTCTTGCACGACTCCTAGGTTCCACGACATCTGTGCCAGATGGCGTGGCACCAGCTCGCCATAGACAAGCCGCATCTGGTGTACATCATCCTCGGCGGGTTCACCAGCATTTTCATGCTATGTTCGCTCTTCATCAAGGAAAAATTGTACATTGGCGAAGCAACCGTTGCGACAATATGCGGTGTCATATTCGGTCCCCATGCCGCAAATCTCATCAACCCTCTGACCTGGGGTAACACGGATCAGATTACCCTCGAATTCTCCCGTATCGTCCTGGTCGTTCAGTGTTTCGCCGTCGGTGTCGAGTTACCCAAGGCGTACATGGAAAGACATTGGAAGTCGGTTGTGTTCCTCCTGGTCCCAGTTATGACCTTTGGGTGGCTGATTACCAGTCTCTTCATCTGGTGGATGATCGTCCCTCTCAGCTGGCTAGAGTCTCTGGTCGTCGCCGCCTGCGTTACCGCCACCGATCCCGTCCTGGCTTCCTCGGTCGTGGGAAAGGGCAAGTTTGCAAAACGAGTTCCCAAACATCTTCGAGACGTCCTGTCTGCCGAATCTGGTTGCAACGACGGGATGGCTTTCCCGTTCATCTATCTGTCTCTCTACTTGGTTAGGTACCACCTGCGAGCCAGAGAGGTTATCTTTCACTGGACATGTTTCACGATCCTATACGAGTGTATCTTTGGCGCCTTCTACGGCGTCATGGTCGGGTACATCGGCCGCCACGCCATCAAATTCGCCGAGCGGAAAGGCTTGATTGATCGGGAAAGTTTTCTTGTGTTCTACTTCGTCCTGGCCTTGTTCTGCGCCGGCTCAGGGAGTCTGTTGGGAATGGACGACCTTCTTATTGGATTTGCCGCCGGAGTTGGGTTTTCGAACGATGGTTGGTTTACCGAGAAAACCGAAGAGTCCCATGTGTCCAACGTCATCGATCTGCTTCTCAACCTGGCCTACTTTGTTTACTTTGGGACCATCATCCCCTGGGACCAGTATAATGCGCATGCACACGGTCTCGTTCCATGGAGGCTTGTTGTCATTTCAATCATGGTCATCTTCTTCCGTCGGATACCTGCAATGCTGGCTCTCAAACCGCTGATACCTGACGTCAAAACTTGGCGGGAGGCTTTGTTTGCGGGCCATTTTGGGCCCATCGGTGTCGGCGCCATCTTTGCAGCAATTCTCGCCCGTGCGGAGCTGGAGACAGATGGAACAACACCTTTGGCCAAACTCCCTGAAGGAAGCGAAGAGTTTGAGCTAATTTACCTCTTATGGCCCCTGGTCACGTTCTTGGTCATCTCATCAATTCTCGTTCATGGCTCATCAATCGCCGTGTTCACTTTGGGCAAACGGATCAATACTCTGACGATCACTCTGTCTTACACTCAAGATAACGAAAAAGGTCCGGCATGGATGCAAAGGCTTCCCAGAATCACGTCTCAGTCGCGGTCCATGTCGCGCAGGGAAAGCTCAGAATTGGACGTTGACGAGAAGTTGGAGATCCCGCCTGGAGAACTACCACCAATCGGAATCCCCAAGCTCCATCTCAGACGACAGCGCGAAGACGAGTATGAGAAGAGGCCAGCCTCTAGATCTTCGAGTCATGGCAGAGCACGGAGGCGGAGAAAGCGGGATAGGGCTCTGGAAGAGCGCCTGGGAGGACCTGTCAGTCAGAGCGCCATTGCTCCGTCAAGACTCAGTGAACCCATCCTCGTGCAACAAGAATCCGGCTCGGACACATTGTTCGACAAGTCCGGCGAACCTTCGCCACAAAGTCGTCCAGAGCGCGTTGAAGTCGGATCAGCAACACCGTCCCCAGAGCGGCATGAGCAGGAAGCTGAGCCAGAGAGAGCACGCGCTCGCCGTACACGGTCTCCACCACCTCCAGATACCCCTGCAGACGTCGAGGCATATGAAGAAGGTGACGATATTGTGGTTGAGGACGAGGAAGGAAATGTGATAGACACGATTGATGCCAGTCACATGTCCCCGGATGAAAAAGCGGATGCCATTGAAAAGGCCCGAAATCGGTTGGCAAAAGACGTTTCCGGGAAATTTGCAAAACACAAGCACGAGCCACACCCCAGAAACGAAGGGGAGGAGATGGAGGAAGAGATGGAACAAGCTGTCATGCCCAAAAGTATGCGTCAGAGATTTGATCAGTGGAAGGGCTTCGGCAGACGGAAGGATGGAGAGGCAGAACCTTCGAGCTCCAAGCAGGGCGAACGCAAGCGAGGCCCAGCCCATGCTTACCAGTTTGGTAACACAGTTATCGTCGAAGACGAGGATGGCGAAGTCATCAAGACGTATAACATTCCTAGCGAAAGCAGCGGGCCTGGTGGCGACAAGTCGAGGGAACAGCAAGTGCGGGATGGTCTGCGTCGGATGAGCACGTGGGTAGGTTTGGGTCGACAAACTGGTCCTGCAGCAGGGCCTGTAGATCCTGCAGGTCCCAGCGTCGATGCCCCTGCGCCATCAGAAACCTTAGACCAACCCAAGGAGGAAGTCGTCAAGAAGCGAGATTTCAGGAGACGCATTAGCGATGCATCCTCTGACGATGACGGCTTGAGAATGACAATCTCCAAGGCCGACCAATACGGCTTGACTGGGTTGCAAAAGAAAGCGCGAGATGCCCCCGGAACTATCGCATTAGGATCAGGCCGTCGACTGTCGACAAGGGACTTTATCAAGCAGATGCAACAGCTGGACCCCAAAAGCAAGATTCGAGAAGTGGAACGCAGTGATGCCACAGAAGATATCAAACGAGAAGTCCGAAGGGCCGCGAAAATGGAAAGAGGAGGGCTTGGTAAGCTAACTGCCTCTGAAGAGAGCCCAACGCGTGGCCGGACCGAGCCAAATCTCGGCGGTACATCGACTGTTCGCCGCCCAGATGCTGGCAGAAGAACCGCAAGTGAGCAAGAAGCCGACGATTATTTCAGCCCCCAACGTCGTCCAAGACCCGATCGCCTGGCTACTCGTGAACGGAACCCGACGCTGAGCGAAGAGAGTGAGGAGGACGAGGAAGACGAGGAAGAGGATGAGGGAGAAATTCCAACCCACAATGTGAGATCGAGTCTAGCGAAGCACGGCAAAGGCCAGACAGCCGCAGACTTGCGCAGAAGACACCTGGCGAGAATCCGGTCTGAAGAGGAAGAAGAGAACGACGAGGAAGGAGAAACAGCTGCGGAAAAGAGGCGTCGAATGGCTGCATTGGGTCTGGGTGACGGGGACGAAGATTCAAGCAGCGAGGGCGACGAAGACGAACCCCGTCGAACCGAAGCCGCTGTGCCAGAACCTACCCAGGAAGCGTCCTCGTCTTCAACTCAACCTAAGGCACGCATTCAATGGGGTGGTGAGAGCGGCCGAGAGAAGAAGGATCCCTACGACATCTATGCCGGCGATCCTATTGTTGGCGCCGCAAGGAAAATAAGAGGCATGATGAAGAAAAGAGGTTGATCAGATCTTCTTTGTCGCCATTTTGGAAAGATAGTGTATGATGGTGATGATGATGGACGTCATGGTCAAGTTGGTAATGTGGCTGTTGTCTTTCTTGGTGACCTTTTGGGGGTTCTGTAACATCTTTTGCAATGAGCTACGAAAGTGTCACATAGAAAATGTATATGACCTTTTAACACCTTGTCGCATCCATGCCCGCCTTTGCAGTGTAGACAACGTGATGATGTTGCACAGGCGCCGTCCCTTTGGTCCAACACACAGCACTATTTTATTAGGTTAGGCACCGTTGCGGGAGGGACAACATGACGATGTTGAACAGGCCATCCTTTCTGTCCAACACTATGAGGGATAGTTTAGGCACCACAGTCCTCTGGCACCACTTTTCCCAGCCAGAGGTAGCCTCTTATCGGCCTCGGGGCAAACAGCCATTCACAGCGCAGTATGATCACTCAAGCTAGTAGTAACTGTAACCCCCAACGACTTTGCCACCGAAATGCGCCCCCACCCTCCAACTCTTTTTTTCCACAAATATATTTTGAAATACCACAAATTTGGCACATTTCAGTCACACGTTTGACTCCAAAATGGTTGTGTAGTGTAGAGGTTAGCACAGCGGATTCTGATCTCCAGAGCATTCCGCTAACCCCGGTTCGGTAAGTTATTGACTTCCTTTGAGAAGTATTATTTGATCGATCATAAAACTAATTCAATGTTGAAGAGTCCGGGCACGACCTGTATAACTCTCTGTTTTTGCTGCTATTGGATATCAAACTCATTGTTTTTGGGTGTTGAAAGTGCATAATTGTTTGCAGAGGAGGATTTGAGAGAGGGAGTATAGGTTCGGTTTCTAGGGTAAATGTGTGGGTGTCTTGGTTGCGGTGGACAGAAAGCATAGACTACCTCGTATACATTAGCCACTCACACAGTTAACTTCCGCATTCTTGGTACTAAAATAGGTTGAAGCTCCGTACCAGAACATCACGTGCCTGTGTGGAATAATGCCATTCGACCTCCTCTTCCCTTTTTGATCATGGCTATTATGTGCATCGAACCCGTGGATGGTCGCATCTTTTATCTCCATTTCACAGAGGCAGGTGTCACGAATCATCAATTCACGTCTTCTTTTTCGCACAGCCTGGCTAGAAGTCCAGACATTGTCTGACATTACGAGACCAGGAGGGAACCGCACCCACCAATAATGGACAGAGACACAAGGGAGTTGCACCCAACAGCGACGTGGATAAGACCGCCTTGTCTGCTGAGAAAGGAACAGTAAAGAAAGCGCCTAGCACGCACGTGGTAAAAAGGCGCGGGACTCACTTTGGTAGCCAGTAACAAGTCGGAGCATGACAGCAGAGTCAAAGAAACAATCACATTCTGAAGTTGGACGTCCTTCCTACGTCCAATCCTTGCCATTCCAAGACTGGATCCGATGTCTGATAGGACATGATCATGTCTATAGGGCTCAGGGGAGATTGATTGCGAAACTTCATTTCACCATGGCTTGCTAACACTCAATCTTGAATCTCAATACTGCTGGGATTGCATGGACACTATCTCGGTCCTCCGTGATGGCTGAGGTTGGTAACTCCTCATTGCCCTGGTACTGTTCTTTCGGACTCTTCATTTCCGTGTAGGTTGGCTTGAATGAAAGATAGTAATACGTTCTCACTAGCATGCTTGATATTAATCTTATTTAACCTCTTCGACGTCGGCTTTGCCGCTTCGCCAGAGTGTGTTGGAACTATACCAGTGATGGGCCTCATTACATGGAATTTGGGAAAGAAGGGGGAGCGTGAGCTGTAAGGCATCAAGATCTGCAACCGAGTTCGGACTGTCGATAATGTGGCCTCGAATCCAGCTGATGAGCCTCTTGGTGCACATTGAGCAGGACCGAGCACAATGGTATCGCTAATTCTCTGTTGCAGAAGGGAACAACAGCTGTTGAAGCAGTATCGACAGCTGTGTCGCTGCTTTATGAGGAGGTACCAGCACCAGCACCAGCACCAACAGAATGGTAGAGCAGCAAGCTTTGAGCTTCACACCAGAATAATTACCACGTGACCGTCCGTGACATCCTTCCATAATTTTCAAATGTAAACGGTGCCTCCCACCGGAGCAATAGTACATAGAAAAGACCGGAATTTCCAGGTACGAAGTGGTCTTGTGTCATGTCGGTGGGAATCAGTGAAGAGAGATCGCGAAAGAGGAGAAAGGTCGAAGCCGCTACCATCACCAGCGCAGGTCAACTTCACCAAATTCTACAATTTTCGCCGTCTTCATCTCCAGAGGACATTAAAGCAGGTATTTTCAGAGTGACACGAGTTTGACAGGCCCGATCAGTTAACAAGCGCAGCTGTCGACCGATTTACAGACTTTCTGTCTAACCTCGCCAACGAAGATTTTCCGGGACGGATCCAGTATATCAAGATCTTGAAGAAGTACTGCGATGAGCAATCGTCGGCTTCCCACGATCAAGTCGACTTCCCTGATCTCTTGTCTGCGTGGCACAATGCGAGTCAGGCCAACGCTGAAGTCGTTCTCGCCGCCATTCCTCGGTTGCTTACACGATTCTTCGAGACGATCTCCAGCCATGTCGACTTCCGCGATTTTGGAATCTCCCTGTGCCACAGTCTCCTCAAACGGGATCAACTACGGATATTCGACCGAGCATTATCGTCACCGAGATCCAAGGAACATCTCATCACACCGAGTTTACAGCTCTTGACAGAGATCATCAGCTTCGATGGCGGCGTGCTTGCAACCAATGTCTTCAGTCGACGCGATTTGCTATACCGGCGGCTTGATGGTATTCTCAGCCAGACGCCGGCAACAATGGCGCAGGGAGCCACGATAACTGCATATCAGGCGGCTTTGGAGTTCGTCCTGGCAAATCTAAAGTACCTCGACTCCGCCTCCAAAGCCGAGTTCATTACACATGGCAAGACGATCTTATTGGCAGTGCGCAATTTGTCCAGCTTGCCTATGGGTATTGTCACAAAAACCCTGAAGAGCTTGGAGACGTCAGTTGTTGGCGATGGTACCCTGAGCCGGCAGATCAAGGTTCGAAGTTTCAATTCTGGTGTCTTGTCAGCGCTCGCCAAGCTGTATGACTACACCACCAGCGAAACTGGCGATCCTTCAGTGGAAGTTCGAGATGCTCTTCAACAGCTGTTGATGCAAGTCTGCACAACATCGAAGGGAGTGTTACTTGGCCAATCCGGGTGGTATCCGACCGGTTCAAATCCCGAAGTTTCGGAACAAGATGAGAACATGATCGATCTGGGACTGGACTCTCCCTTCTACTTTGACGATTACTCGGAGAGAATCCCAATCAAGAACGTGGCAATCTCTGCCTTCATTCAGAATTTGAGACCCGAAAGCGACGTCCAGCAGGCTAACCTGATCGTCGCAATATTCAAGGCTGCCCCTGAACTTGTGGCCGACTATTTTACAAAGAAACAGAGATTCCTTGTCCCACCAGGAGATGACCCGAAATGGCGCGGACAGTTCGCCTTCTTGTTCTCCGTGGTTCAGCTGCCCGTGCCTCCCAACTGTGGTTGGGACGAAAAGCTGCCACGGACTCCGCCTCCTTTATCGGTTGTCATTGAAAGTATCCTCCCACGCCCATTCGATCGAGCCACGATCGGAAAGTGCCTTCGGATTAACGAAGATATCATGACCATTTCTGCAGCGCGGTTGTTGACAGTGGCTTTCGAGAAGCTTGATTCGGTCTTGAAACTCTTTGACAGGGCATCGGCGCAGTCCCATTTATGGCAGCAAGCATCCCGCAAACTGACAAGTCTATTTGTCGAGCGTATCCCACCCCTGCCCGATGTCGTTACCACCCTTCAAAAGCTGCAAGACGAAAACGAGCAAGTCCGTTCCTTAATCCTCGAATGCATAGCTTCATACCACGCCATTCTACCCTCGATAACCGCGAATTCAAAGTTTGATTTTGGTGTTCCATTAGGCAAAAGGCTCCAACGTCTAGAATCCGATGATCTGAACACCACGTCAAGGGATGTCCTAGGGACACAGATAGCGCACCTTGTGCAGATTGCATACACCTCGCCAGCAACAAAGTGGTTTCATAAGACGGCGTCAGAAGAGGTGTCCTTGATTGTGCAGCTGCTCAGATACGGTGCCCAAGACTCCCGCACGAACGTCACGAAAGAAACTCTCCCTGTCCTCGGAGGAGTGTTGATCGACAAGGGAGTATTGAACGATGACGCTCGAACTACGGAAGCATTGATATTGAGCCTTAACGCGACAAAGAAATGGCACCCGGAGCTAGTCACATATCAGTTTCTGGACAACTGCATATCGCGCACCGTTCAGAGGCCCGTCAAGTATCTAGATCAACTCGAACAAGCTCAGCAGCTTTTGTCCGACTCGAAGCCTTTGAGCTTGCTCGCATGCTGCGTGGCGGAGCAGTGGGCCCATTTGTTGAAAAAGGCAGAAAAGAAAGCCATCAAGAACGTTGCAGAATGGATTGCCAGGTTCTTCTCTGCACTTGACTCGGCAGGCGAGAATTATCGTGTCATGATGCACTTGAAGGAAGAGATGTTGGGGCAGAGTGATGGCAACGAGAAGGGCAAAGAAGCACTAGAAAAGGCCTTTGAGAAGCAGCGAAAGAGACCCGTTGTTTTGCCCAAGGAAGATGTTGTGGAAGGGGATGCAAAACACCCTGAGGCTTCCGACCACAGTGAACTGAACCCAGAGCAACAGCAGCATAGCAACCTGGATATCGCTGAAAACTTTCCGCCGCCACCCGTCTTGCCAACGTCCGTAAGTGGCCTCGATCGCTGGGCGAAACCTGACTTCGAATCCGAGGTTCAAAGCGGGCGCCTAGCCAATCTGATCCGTTGTCTCGTCTCTCCGGAGCCCGAAGTCAGACTTCAAGCCTTGCAGATTCTCCAACATGTCATCCACGCTGTCCAGCAGTCCACCTACGACGAGAAGACGCAACTCTGGCTCCTCCTGGGAGAACTGTACGAGACGATCAAAAGCAATGGTTTCTCAAACTCGACGACTACCGTAACAGCTCCAGTGCACTCCATAGTGGCAGAACTAGCAATCCACTTCCTCCCCGTCATCGCCGACCCGTCGTCCCCGTTCTACCGCAAGACCAACACCTTCCTCCTTCGTGGCCCTCAGTGGTCTGTTCCACATATTATCCCTTACTGGCTGAAGGAGACCTTCCTCACGGAACCGGAGATGGACGATGCAGACATGCGCGCGAGCTCTAACCAAGTGATAAGTGGCGGTGGTGGGAACGTCAATGCTCAGGCTCATGAAATCGAGCGCTTTCTCGACCTCCTCCTCAACTCTCTGCGCACCGAGGCCGATATGGACTTGTTCCGCCGCGCACAGGTCTTTACGCGACTATTCTCGTACTACCTGTCGCCCGTCTGCACCAAATCCGCGCGGAAGAAGATCTTGAGGGTCGTCGAGCTCGCTACGCGGATCAAAGGTGGGAGTGACACGCTCATCACCCGGACCGGGGTCAGAGAGTGGCTGTCCATCGCCAAGACGCTCAGAGGCCACAGCGGGCATGGCGTCGCCGCGTTCGGGAAGGTGGACGACGAGATGGTCAGCTGGGTCGAGGCTGTAGGGGCACGCGTGGCACAGACTTGTGACGTCGCAGCGGTCCGCCAGTGGGAGGCCAACAGGAGGATTTTTAGGGAAGTTGAGGATGGTGCCAGGCTTGACGGAGAAGTAGCCGTCACGGGCGAGACAGGGAAACGAGATGTTGTGGGTAAAACTCGGGTGGATGGCGTGGCCGAGGACGAGGGCGAAAGCGAAAGTCAGAGCGAGAGCCAAAGTGACACCGACACCGACACCGACACCGACACCGACACCGACACCGACACCGACACCGAATCGGAGACAGAGACGGAAACCGACATGGACAACGACACCGAGGACAAAGAATGAAGATGGCGGAGTGGAAGAGATTTAGCATCAAAGCAATCATCATGGATGGCAACCAAGTCCACTGGTCAAGCAAGGAAGGACCTGGGCCAAACCCCATCCATCGTGAACTTTCGTATTCGGGAGGAGGTTACTCGACTCGACTAGGTACATACTATACTGTCTTTTGCCATGGTACCACGTCCCTCACCACCCGTCCCCATCCACATCGGTCCGACCCGACTGTCTCTGAGCCAAATCGGAGCTGTGGCAGATAGGGACAACCAAAAAAAGAACAAATACCCATCCATGCTCTAATATCGCGCGATATGTACTCAGTAGACCGAAGAATAATAACAAGAAAAGTGCCACTCGTCGTCTTGATTAGTCTTTTCTTTATTCTCTTTCTCTCTCTCCCCCAAACAACACTTACAGAGACTTTGGATCCGTGGGTTGTTATCGTTTTCAAAAACATCTTCCATTCCAATCGGAGCTTCCGGGAAGGAGAGTAACAGTTCTTGTTCTCCAGTTCTTCGTTGGTCTATTCCTCTTCCTTTTTCCCTCTGGGTGTCCACTGTCAAGTTGACCGCTGTGTGGTCTATAGTCCTTGTTCGGCAAAGGAACGTCCGGCGCCCTTCAATTGCCTCCTCAGAATCGATCCGAGGGGGTCTGCTAATATGTAACCCTCCCCAGGCGTCAATGCTGTTCAGAATTCCGACTGCTTGGGGCGGTCACTCTGTCCAAACACTGAATCTCTCCATTCGAGTGGGCAGACGAATGTTGCGGCTTCGGTAGCATGTACAATCACAAGGTGCAGCGGATCAAAGCTGTCGGCTTGTCTCGCACGGTGCCATTCAGACCATATATTCCAGCTCATTCGTTCAGAAGCTCACCAAGTCTGCTCATTCGTCAGTCGTCGCCCTCGATCGTAGTCACTAAGCCGCGGATGTTAAACTCACCTCGTCCAAAAAGTGCTCGCTTGCTCCAGTCCATCGCCAACAACATCCTCGTCCGGAAACTGACACTTTGTGCAAAATAGATGCTCCTCCATAAGTAGACGGCCATCAACCCACCGCTGAAATTCAGACCGCCAAAATCAAAAATGGCGGCGTTTCCAATGTAAGCCAGTGAACCCATGTGGTGGTACTCAAAGGCCTTGTAGACGGCTTCGTCGAGGTCTCCAAAGTCGACCTCGTTGGCCTTGAAGCCCGGGATGGCGGCCGCAATCTTATTGAATTTCCGACCAAGATACTGACCTTGTTGATTCGCACGTTGAGCCGTTGCGGGAAGAGAGGTGAGTTTGGAATCAATCTGGACAAGCAATTCGTGCAGCTCGCCGAAATCTAATGTGCCGGATTTATCCTTGTCATATTCCTGAAACAGCTTGTCGAGTCGTTTGAGATGGCCGGCCGCCTGGGGAAACCGCTTGCGCACTTTTTGCGCGACACTGCGCCAATCTTGGAAGGTGATGTGCATTTTTTCCGGGTCTTTACCCTGCTCGAACGCCATCCCACGGATGAAGGTAGTGAGATGATCCGCGACATTGTTTTGGACCGTGGCGCAGTCTCCGATGGCGTAGACCTCGCCTAGTGGCGCGCCTTGGAGTCGCAGATGTGTATCAGTCTCGAGGGCGTGTCGGTTGTTCTGGAAGTCGCCGAGCTTCTGGGCAATCTTGCGGCTCAATTCAGTCTGCGCGACACCAGTTGACCATAAACAGAATCCCATAGGGAGCTCTTTTGTGACCGGGTTCCCATCCTCCATCTGGGAAAAGATGATTCGGTCGGGCTTGACTTCCTTGACCCGCGAATTCGTCAGGACCTCGACGTGATCATGTTCGAACCTCTTCTCGGCGTAGACCGACAAGGCTTCATCGTAGGTATTGAGGATGTGGCCTCGCGACTGAATGACGTGCACCGACACTTCGTTCCGTAAGATCCGTGGAAAAGACTTCAAGAGGTCCTCATTGAGCATGTCGTATAGTTCGGCGGCGAACTCGACCCCCGTTGGGCCACCGCCACTGATCACGAACGAGAGCAGTCTCCTTCTTTCTTCGTCAGAGGTCGTGGGCAAGCAGGCAAGTTCGAGATTGCGGAGGACCTTGTTCTTGATCAGACGCGCATCTTCTATGGTCTTGAGGAAGTTGCAGTTTTCCAAACCCTTGACGCCATGAGGGTTGGTGGTGGAGCCGACTCCAATGATCAACTTGTCGTAGGGAAGATAGAAATGCTGCCTATTACCATCGGCGTCGACCTGGGCCACTTCAACCAACCGTTCAGCGAAGTCGACGTCAACAGCTTCAGCCCTTAAGAAATGCCCTCTCAATCGATTGACAATCCTGCGGACTGGCTCGACCAGCGATCGCAACTCCAGAGTGCCCACGGTGGCAGAAGGCAACATGGGTGTGAACAGGAAGTAATTGTCGGGAGACACGACAGTAACATGATAGTCACCGGGGTGGAGTTCTTTCAACATGGCGACGCTCCCCCAGCCCGTGCCCAGGACGACCAGTTTGGGCTTGTCCTTTTGCTCTCGCATGTGCTCGCAATCCTCGTCATCGACCAATACCTCGGCGATGGGCAAGTTCTTTGGCCCTCCTCTTCTGGGTGACAGTGCCGCTTCCGACACAGCAATATCACCGGCCGTTTCGGGTGCTTCTCGGTATGTGGAAGCATCGTAGAGGAAAAAGGCGAGGACCAAGGTTCCGGAGAAGACGATGAAGATGCCCGTGTATGCAAATATCCGGTAACAGAAGCGAACGAAGGGTCCCTTGTTGTTAGGGAGCTCTTTGGTAGAAATGTATCGCACTGTCCCCGCAGTGGGAGGGTAGATGAGACGGGAAGGGAGCTTCGATAGACCGATACTCGTGTTTCTAGAAGGCGACTGGGCGATCCGCAGGGTTGACAGAGCCCTAGAGGATTGTAGGCATAGTCTCGTCGGTTGGATCGGTTTCAATTGAGGATAGGCATGGAGAGTAGGAACAGGGCGCACGCGGAGCAGAAGGTGTCGCTGGCCGCTGCGAGCCAATTGAGGAAGGGCGGCCATGGTCGAAGAAGGGGAGGCGAGAGGATCGTGGCAGGTTTACCTCATGGTGAGGACTTGTGGTAGATATGCGAAAGGGAGCAACAAAGGAGAGGTATTCAAAACTGAACGCTGTACAAGTAGGGCAGATCTAACCACGAATCCAGATACGAGCAAAGAAAAGGAGCAAAAAGAAATAGACGGGGATGATGCTGGACGTGGGTATGACGGAATGGCAGCGAGCGGAGGAGCGTGGCTTTTGTGGTTGGGTGGGATAAATGATTGAAGCTTCAAGCTTGTTGAATGCATGTGGCACTTTTGTGGCTCATGGGCACCAGCTGGTGTGGACTGGCAAGACTTGCTTGACTAGGCATATAATTTAATGTGCGTTTGTTCCTACTTGTGTACTTGCTGGTGCTTGTACATAACTGCGGCCCTGTGCCTGTGCTGGTGGTACTTCTATCTTCCTACCCGCTCGCCCACTTCACTTTACCCACTGGACCACCCCATCGGTGCATTGGAATGGCGATCGGAAGTGCGGCAGCAGACCTTTCATCATCAATCCCCTATTGGGTGCCTATCGTCACCCTCTCATCATCATCATCAGCATCATCATCATACAGTGGCTTCGCTTATCAAATCTCTCAGCTCCTTTTACTCGATTCGATCCAGCGATCCAACCTGTCGCCTTCGGGCAATTCTTCGCAACGAAATTCCATTCATTACCTGCCTGGCTATCTGAAGCCCTAGGCCTCTTCACCCCTCCAACCCCTTAACTCCCTCTTTGCGGCGTTTGCTCGAATTCCTTATTTTGAGAAAAAAATAACTTCGTGGGGGTATCATATAACGACGCGATAAACATTCTCGTCCTGTGTCCCAGTAACTGCGCAGTCTGCATATCCTCCCAAAACTCCTCGGTCCTCTCAGAAATTCACAAAGTCTTTCCGCCTTTTTAGTGTCCAGAGAAATGCCACGCGACCATCATCATTCGTAAATGCTGCGTCTGTCCTTAAAAATCTTCGTCGTCCCCATTCTCCATCGAGGACACACTCGCTGATCGTTGCGCATGGCCATTCTTTGGCGGTCGCCCTCGAGCTCGCTTTGGCGTCCCTCCGATCGACCCAGAGATACTTTTGCGCTTTCGACCGCGTTGCGCGCTCGGAGGTTGGTCCGGGGTCACATCCATCATTGCGCCCATTGCTGCCTCCTCGGCAATCTTGACTTCATCGTCGATAGCCACAAGTTGAACAAATTCTCGGCATCTCGCAACCATTGCGCTTGCACTGTTGAGCGATTCAAGAACCGCGTTGGAGTTGTGCCAGAACTTGTCCCCAGTGATTCCATGTACCCTGACTGGTTCCTTTCCAGCTTCCTTGGTCTGCTTGTTCTGTTGCATCGCTCCCCTGACATCTCGCGACAGCCCGTACTGTCTCTTCAGAAAGTTCCTCGCCTCGGAGATCAGTGTGATGGCGCAAGCTGCCGTCGTCAGCGATCTTAACATGGCCGGATCCACAAGAGGTGCTGGGTCGGGGGTAACCACTTCGGCCCCTTCAGTCTCTGCGTGCTTGACGGGGGTAGGTCCAAGGTGTGACTCGATCGCCTGTGCTGTTTCGCCACCATTTCGACCAAATGCCAGCTCTAGCTGTAACACAGTATGCAGAAGCTCGTCCATCTTCTTATACTCAAAGAATGCCAGGTTCTGAGTCACAAATAGGACAAATAAGAGATGTTCGGGAATCTCATCCCCTGCCACATCCAGTTTGGAGTACTCGGTGTTGAGTTTCGAAATTAGATTGCTGATGAACTTCTTCACGTACTTTGAGCCACTGGTGCTAATGATGGCAAAAGCCGTGGCAAGTTTGGCCGTGTATCCCGGAACCAACCCTCCTTGCGGATTCTTGATTACCTCGTTCTGATATCGAAAGGCGGCGAACACGGCGTTGACATACTCTCTCTCACAGACGGATTCGTGCTGTTGATGCAAGTGCTCATGGGCAATCCGGGCAACACGGGCAACCTGGGGCTCCGTACTGGTCTCCAGAGCCACAAACGCCGACGTACTTTGTTTTGGGTGCGTCATACCCTGGTGGTCGATGCTGGCCAGTGTTTGAGCTGCGAGCAGTGCTTTCATACCAGTTTCAGACGTGATGATGTGCAAGAGGTGGTCAACCAGCGGGTTGGTGATGGTCGCAATCGCACTGTCATCCTCGCGGGTCTTGCTGTCGCCACCAATGTTTTTCAAAGCCTGCACCTCACCATCGCTCTCGCCCTTCTTCGCCACCTCTTTGACAGCCGCCCGCTTCCCGTACAATTCTTGAAATACCTCGAGCACTGTAATCTGCATCTTCTCCACGTCACATTTGTCCAGCTTACTGAAAGACGTTCCATCTAGGACCTGGAAGAACGTTTCTCGAATATGCCGTTTGTTGAATTGGCCCGGCCATGCTTGACAGACGAGACCGAGACACTCCAGCGCCCTAACTTGGATCTCAATAGGGCAGTCTCTAGAAGTGTGTTCCCAAATGCAGTCTGCAATCACCCCTGCAACTGAGTCACCTTTGTATGTAGGAAAGAGTCTGCGAAACTCCTCGCGATATTGTTCCAAGTCGAAGACTTTTCCTGCGACACCAAGCAACCGCAAGCACATCCGTTTTCTCTTGGTCTCCTCCATCTTCTCTGGTGACGCGGGCGCCGTCCCTCGCGAAGTTTCGCTGCGTAGCACATTCCGCACCAGTGATATCGTGAACCTAGCAAGCTTGACGGTCTCGTGCAGCACCCCGTCGATGCTTCTGAGGCACCACATCACCTCCTCAATCACTTCGCGTTGCACAAGCTTCGGACTAGCTCTCAGAAGGTCCTTCTGAACCTCTTGCAGCAGTGGAGCTTGAGTGCTGGACAGTTGTGGCAGAACCAGACGAAATATGGCCACAACTGATTTGAACTTTGGGATGTTATCCTGTTTAGCCAAGTCTTTGAGATAGCTCTTCAAACTGGTTAGATCTGCGGGCACCACCGCTTCCGGTCGAGCTTCAACAAATGCAACAAGAGTCGCCAACTCTGCCGGTCCCGACTCAGAGCTATTGGCGGCGTCCAGGAGTTTCTTGACAATACGGGCGCAGAGATGCTGGATCTGGTCAATGTGTTTGGAGTCTTTCAGCTTCCAGACTAAGAACTCCTTCAGAAGTGGTGCCAGCCGCGCCGTGTCGTTTCCAACACATCTGACAATGTGAGATTTGAGGTCCTCAATAGCGACATCCAGATGCGCAGACTCGGCTGCAGAGCTCAGCGTTGCCAGTTTAGGATCAACCCAGATCTCTGCCAATATCTTTTTTGCAAGCTCAGCCACGGAGGTTTCTTGATGGGCAGTCCGTTTCAGGAACTCGACCGCGATAGCTTCTTTCACATTTGCTCTCCCCTCCTTCAAATAGACATCTTTTAAATGAGCCATGGCTCTTTTCTGCACCCCAACGTTAGGATCGTCAGTACATTTGAGAAGCACCATGAATGCCTTTTTCTGAAGTGCGGGCCTTGGCATGATGAATCTGGCAATCAGTGTCAAGGCAGAATCCCTCACCATGGACGAGTCATCTGAAGCACACTTCAAGACCATGTCCACCAGAGCCGGTCCCCAATCGAGCAGACTTGAATCGATCTCCAGCATAGCGACGAAGCTCTTCAGGCTGCGAGTGCGAACTTGAGCCTGATCACTCGCGATCGACGAACTTAGCGTTGTGGCGATTTCCAAAAACATCCGACAAAATCGCCCGTTGAGAATGCTCAGCATATAGGCTAATTGGGCTTCGTGTTCAGTAACTTTGGTGTGATCGTTAGCGATCTCATTGTATTTGACTGATCCGGATAGCTGTTGCAATATCGCCGAAACTGTCCTCTCAAGTGTCGAGTCGAGTTCAAAGTCCCGTTCTTTATCCTGTGGCTGTGTAGAGGCTTGATAAATGAGACCTCCGAACTTCACAAGGAAGAATGCCTGTGCAGATTTGGTTCTCAGACCCTCCCCTCCTCTCTGGCTCAAGTAGGAATAGACAATGGAAAATGGCCCCCTGGCCGATACAAGTTCGTGGGCATCGAGAAGAAAATGAGGCCGCTCCTTGACAGAGTCCGACAGATCTCGGGCAATAGTGGTTGTGTGTGACTCTCCCTCCCCCGTGAATGCTGAAAGCGAGCTTCGAGCAGATGCACGGATTTGGGATATCGCAGACCCCATCACTCCCAAGGATTCAAGAGCCATGTTCTTCGTCGAGGCTGACTTGTCTGTTTCGGCAAGGCTTTTCATTCGAAGAGCCAGCGCTGTGAGAAGCAACTCAGACGCTGGCCAGTCCGGTAAGGGAAGCACCAGAGTGAGGTCTTCCACAAACAGATCGAGGATATTGCGGTAAGGCGAATCGCCAGTCTTGGTGACTTTAGAAGCCTTGTCAATCATCCACATGACAATTTGATGGGCACTCGATGATGCATCATGGAACAGACTCTGTGCCATCTCACCTAGCCTTGATAACGGTCTCTTCTCAATCTCTTGTGTTGTGGAAACTGAGTCAACCTCCATATCACTGGCTGAATCCTCACTCTGGTCTGAACTGTCGGATGCCTGCGATTCCTTCCTAGGTCCTCGTCGTGATTTTCGGCTTCTTTTCATACCTGTTTGCATAGCCGAGGTCTGTACTAGCTGCATGAAAAGAGCAGAGACCAGTTGGATATTCTTGCCAGGTGCGAGCTTATATTGTCTTGCACTCCTGCTATTTGAAGGCAGCTTGTCTAAGGACGTCAAGACTTCGTCCAATATTGCCCGCCGCTCACTAGGGAAGGCTGCGTAGAGTCTGGCAAGAGCAGCCATGGCTTGTTTTCTCAACCGCTCGTACGCTTGAGACCCAAGTGCGGATGCTTTGTCGTTATAGGCATTCTGGACAAAAATGAGCTTTGCTGCTAGGAACTCAGTGGCATTAACAAGAGACCCGGCTCCTTTAATTTCCACGCACATCCTCGCCACAAGATCCAGCAGTTTGCGTCCAACATCTAGCAACCGTTTGAGAGGTTCGTGGTGCGCCGAGGCGTAACTGAAAAGTTCACTGTTCTGTCCATCTGGACGGGCCTCGACAATCGGGATTAAACAGTTCTCAAATAAGTTCACCAGTACATTGGGCAACCATTGCAGTGCTTCCAGATTGAGAAGGTCTTGATTCTGGGGAGCACCTAGAACGGTGTAGATTAGAGTGCACGCTGAAGCAGCTCCGCTCTCCGCAGTGTGAAGCTTCGACAGCCAAGTGGATGTATCCTCATCGGATGCGCCCGGAGGTACTTGCAAGTTGATTGCCTGTGCACGTTCTATCACCGGCTCACATATTTTTTGAAGTCGCTGAAGATATTCCGGAGAAACATCACAGAGCCGACCTGATGTTAGGAGCTGATTCAAGGTCGATTGAAGTTTCTCCTGTAAACGGATTGCAAGTCGGGGTTCAGTGTCGTCTTCATCGTCGGGCAGATCGAAAATGCCATTGGGCGATCCCTGTCGTTCTGCTGAGTTGTTGAGGTCAATTTGATCTCGAATCTCGAAAATCTCGCCGAGTTGGCTTTCAAAGCTCGCTAAAAGCTGGTCATCCTTCTGTTTCTTGGAGGTGGTTGCTAAAACGGGCTTGGTAGGTGGCGGAGGCTCGTTCTGTCGTTTTGGAGTATCTTGTATATTGACGTAGTCCTCTTTTCTGAAGGACGGGGGCGGCTTCGGTATGTCGATAATAATGGAGGCTGGTTTAGTGATGGGCATCTGAAGGGTTTTCTTCCGGGCTGCAGGGGGGGTTCCAGTTGTCGAAGACTTGTATGTATAATCTATTTTGGACATTTTGAGAACCATCTTTGGTATGGAGTTCAGTTCTGCCCTGATGGAGTTGTCATTCTGGACTGGGGCTCGAGGAAACTTGATCTCAGATAAGCGGCGAGGATCAAGCAGGACCGCCAGACGTTCTCTGGTCGCGGGAGTGTCTAGTTCGCTTCGATATACTGCCTGGCGTTCGGAAGGAGAAGTGAGCCGCGAATCATTGGAGCACGCAACTTGAGGAAAAGGTACGCATTCTGTGAGGTGCATTAGAAACGGCAGCAACTCTTGAGTGAAGTGGGCATACCATTCGGCTGGAGAATCGGCATGGTCATGGGAGTGTATTGGAAAGCCTGATCCACTGAGAGTTGTCTGTCATTGGAATCATTCTGCCGCCGTCGTGGGACAACGACCTTAATGGTGTCGCCCGTCATATCCATGGTTTTGACACTGGTGAGTGATGGGAACTGCGCAAGGCGGCCGATGCAACTATCTCGACGACTCCGCCAAAGACGGTGGAGGGGTTGAAATGGGCTGGTTTATTGTCAGGACACACGCCATGACCCTCATAGTCAACAAACACCTAGCGCAAGCTGCCAGTTGTCCTCGGTATGGGGGTGGGTTGTCTTGACACAAACCGTCTGCGCAAGCACGTAGAGATGAAAGTGAGGCTCGAAGTGACTAGGCACTGCTAAAGTCAGGCTGGGCACGGCTGGGGAAAGGGATCTTCAAACCGTGATCCGCTCGGTTAAGCTGCGGTTTCAATACGAGATCGCGCTTACCAGGGTTGGCGGCAAAGCGGCTGCAGGAACGAGATCCCAAATTTTATCTCGGGGCTGCAAAAAGTCAGCCACCATCTTCCCAAACACTCGATATTTCATCATGGTTGCGATAGGTAGCCTTTTGTTCTGCGATGCCTGTGGCTCCCTGCTACCGCGGATTGTCCCAGGCGAGAATCAAGACGACCTGGTCCAGTGCGACGATTGTTTTCAGTACACCAAAGATACCTCATCCAAAGTCATAACTTCAAAGTCCAAACCGAGTGCCTTTCCATCTCCTCTACGTGCAAAGCATTCCGAGGTGCAGGCTGTCAACGCCGACGATCTACAGGTCGAGGCTGTCATCTCCAGAGAGTGCCCTGATTGCCACCGGCCAGAAATGTTCTACCATACCAAGCAGCTACGAAGCGCCGACGAAGGGACGACTGTATTCTACAGATGCGAGTGTGGTTTCAAGGATGTGCAGAATAACTGAGATTACGCTGAGTCGGGGTCTGAAATGCGACGCTTTCTAAAGCAAACCGGTGCTATACAACAACCTCTGTCGGGATGGTGGCATATTCCATCTCCCCAGTTTTCTCGTATGCGGCCATATCAAGAGCAACAACAACGCTCTCACGGACGACTTGCTCAGAGTCGTTCAAGAATCTCTTCAACATATCCTCCACACCTGGTTCCTCTCCTAAACTGCCGAGTGCCTCGGCAGCCTCGTGTCGAACCATGCTTTCTTCCTTGGTATCCTCCAGCACGGCCAACAATGCAGGTATTGATTCTGGATGCGATAGTTGTCCGAACACAAAAGCCACCTCGTGACGAAAAAGTGCGGATGGATCTTTGAACCCAGAAGCAAGTGCGTGAACGGCAGGCTTTGCCGTGGGGAGGTCTGGTGGAGACGCAAGGTCTCGAAGCGCAAACATGGCACGATACCGTTGGAACAAGGGCAACGATTGGTCGAGCAGGGTAGCCTGTAGATTGGATATCGAAGGTGTTTCTGAGGACAGAGGCAGAGGAGGCGCAGGATCGATCGAGGCAAAGTCGCTTGACTTCAAGCTTTCGCTTCGCCGGCTCTCAGAATGAGCCCAATTGATGCGGTCGACGGCTATCTCACATGTCTCTCTAACCACCACCGGCTCGCTCTCGTCGTCTTTCATTTGTTCCATAATTTGTAGACTTGACATGTCTCCCAGTGCCCCCAGGGCCTCGGCTGCCTCGTGCCTACACATGGCATCTTCCTCCTTATTTTCAAGGACCGCTCGCAGGAACGGCACTGCCGCTAGATTCCTGGTCTGTCCCAGACAATATGCCAGCTCGTGTTTCAAAAGCGCAGAGGGAGAATCGAATGCAGCGGCAATTGCTTCTATTGCCTCTGTTGCCTGTTGTCCAGGAGTTTGTGAAGCGACGTGTTTGAGGGAGAATAGTGCGCGAAAGCGTCGGGCAAGTGGGACGTTCTCGGAGGTCAAATCTCTTCTGAGGGTAGGGATGGTCGTATCGATCTGGGGATCAGGTTGCGTGGATGAAGCCATATTTGATCTCGAGTCCTCTTGCAAACTCTGGGGCGTCGCTGATCAGCAGCAAGAAGATAGTAGAATTGTTGCTTGTGATGTCCTCGTCATAGACGGAGGCTATCGCTGAGTGTTCGGAGAATCACCAAAATTTTCGCGGGGAGACCCGTAAACCCTTATCGATAAAGACAGCCACAGCCAAGCCCAGGCGCTGTGCTGGTGGTGCCTGGCTCCCCGTGACGTCCTCGTACAGCTAAGGAGGCACACAGGTTGCGGCGTGTGTTTCTTGAATCTTCCAACCTACTGTACACGTTGGTTGCGCGCTTCATTAACAGTCCTCATTCCCCCCATCCTCCTTTCCAACCTCTGTATATCTCACAACAAGACACTCACATCAACCTTATATCGCTACTACCCTTTTTGTTGACACAACTATGGGTTCCGTCGTCATTCCTCATCTGGTCACTGGCTGGCACGTCGACCAAGCCATTCTCTCCGAAGACGAACGCCTGGTGGTCATCCGCTTCGGCCGTGACTGGGATCCTGACTGTATGCGACAAGATGAAGTCCTCTACAAGATCGCCGACAAAGTCAAGAACTTCGCTGTCATCTACGTCTGCGACCTCGACCAAGTCCCGGACTTCAAACAGATGTACGAGCTCTACGATCCAGTGACCATCATGTTCTTCTTTCGCAACAAACACATGATGTGTGATTTCGGCACTGGCAACAACAACAAGCTGAACTGGGTTCTCGAAGACAAACAAGAGCTTATCGACATTATTGAAACGATCTACAAAGGCGCCAAAAAGGGACGAGGCTTGGTGGTCTCACCGAAAGACTACTCAACAAGATACAGATACTAGACGAAGGCTATGTCGTCTTTAATCAGGCGCACAAATCCATCCTCACCTCCCTCCTCTGCGCACGGTGCAGAATATGGTGGAATCCACTGCACGGTTCTTGCAAGATATTTCCTCCTACAATGACGACGATGGATAATCACTCCTCGAGAGGGATTGACTGGACACGGATTGTCTAGTCACGAATAATATTCGCTGCGAAGGGATGGCTACACTGGCAACAGGCCACACGCGGAGATGATGGGTTTTGGAATTGGGAATGGGACCTGTGGAACTGGAGCAGGCTCGGTTGGTCTCTCACTTGACGTCCAGATATTTAATGAAATTTTTGCTGACACGACTTTACATCAAAGCCCACCTCGACTGAGGCTCCAGAAGTCTATGATTTTCTTGTCCGCTTCTCCAGGTACATTACCCTCGCCCACTCCCTTCGCGTTCCAAGAGGCCCCCTGCCGCTCATGTGGTAGCGACAATGACTCGTTTTGGAAATCTCGCCCACAGGTTGATTGCTCTGGACATCGAAGTCCGTCCCTTCTGATGCCCCAACCTCGTCCGTTATCTGGTCTGTTGTAGAGGTCGTACCTATACCAGTAAATCTACCTTGATGACTCTCCGCGTCGCTTACATGCACTTAAGACTTTGATGCTCGTTCGGCTGTTTATATAGCTGTAAAACGGGCGCGGGCCAGACCACAACCTCAAGGTGTGAGCTAACAATTACTTCTTTTCAACCATATGATTGATTGCATCACGTGCCTTTTCTTCAGCTCCTGGCCATCTCGGCGGGTGATTTAATTTGGCGACCAAGTGGGGGTGAGATGGTTGAAGCGAAACCATCCAACACGCACCCTTGCAACGCCGCTTCATTTCCATATCCATTTCCATTGCACCGTAAAATGTCTCCCGTCAATTGAGATCTGGCCACCTTTACCGCTTTTTCGTGCGTTCAATTCCAACTCCACCTGTTCATGCATGGCTCTGGACGATTTTTTCCGGATGGCCTGTCTCTCTGTTGTCTAGTCTCTCCTTGATTTTATGTGCCAGTGACCTTCCCATCATGAAACCTCGCCCGCCGCAGCAGTCAACTCTATGCTCCCCGTAGCACCGCTTGGGATGAAACAATCCGCTTCTCTAGACTGCGTCAATATCCTTTTCAAGTGTGCATTTTCTCCGCAGAGCGCGACTTCCTATCAGTCTTGATCTGCGACAGTTCACTGCGACCCAGACCCCTCCAACATGGCCTTTGGAACGATCGTTACGTTGACCATCCTACCAGTCCTCATCTTCGCCCTTTGGCATCTCACGTCGACCATGCTCCCCCCTATACCTGCCCTTCTGCGCAACAAGCGCATCATCTTGCTCATCGCTCACCCGGACGACGAGTCGATGTTCTTCTCGCCGGCCCTGCAAGCCCTGACCCACCCTTCTCTACAAAACCACTTGAAGATCTTATGCATGAGTACGGGCAACAGCGAAGGTCTGGGCGCAACACGGAAACAGGAATTGGAAAAGGCGGCGACGACGCTGGGACTGAGGCGGAAGGAGGACGTCTTTGTGCTAGAGGACGAGCGGTTCAAGGACGGAATGAAGGAGGAGTGGAAGTCTGAGGATATCGCGCTCGTGCTCGCCAGTGCATTTGCGCCGCACCTGAACTCTCCGTCTGCTGCAGCAGCCCCGGCAATGCCCACATCAGATTCCGACAAGGAAAAGGACAAGGACCGACGAAAATCCAAGCCAAACTCTGTGAAACACACCAAATCCGCCTCTCGCACAAGCATAGCAACCCCGCCCGCTCCAGCGCAAAAGGAGGTAGAGGGACCCCGCGCAACGATCGACGTCCTAATCACCTTCGACAAGGACGGTATCTCAGGCCATCCCAACCACATCGCCTTGTACCACGGTGCGTCCCTGTTCCTACAAAAGATCATGAAAGGCCACTCTGGCTATGCGTGCCCGGTCACGCTGTACACCCTCCCCTCGATCAACATTGTGCGGAAATACTCCTTCGTATTAGACGCCATACCCACCCTCCTAGCCGGGATCTACGAGACCATATTCGGCAACTTGTTTGGATCCACGACAGGGAAAGGGAAGACCGCCACGGGGCCCAAGAGCGCCGCAGACCGAGTCATGTTTGTCAACGACATATTCCGGTACTGGAAGGCGCGCGAGGCCATGATCCACGGACACAAATCTCAGATGGTCTGGTTTCGATGGGGCTGGATCGGCCTAGGGAGGTACATGGTCGTGAATGATTTAAGGAGGGAGCGAGTCGTGGCGGGTTAAAGGGTGAAGAGAGGTGGGAAAAGATCACCAAACGACACCAGTAAATCTGGAGTCAAGTTCTTTTTTTTTTTTTTGAACCCCCTAGGAGCTTTACGTGTTTTTTCTCTTTCGGCGCGAAGGAGGAAATAGGGCCTCAAAACGAGGAGTCCTCGCTGGGGGCAGGGGAGCGAGGGACAGAGGGGAGTCAAAATGGGTCTGTGTCTATTCAGCAGACCCGCGTCAATGGCTTGTGGATGTGTCACATTGGAAGGGAGGCTCTTTTGACGATTCTTGCTTGTCCATGATATCCAATTTGGCTTTTACCCCGTAGAAGGACTCCCAAGGGGGGCCTTTTTTGTGACCGGGGCGACTGTTCGTTGTTTTATGAGAAACTGAACTTGCAGTACCACATTCTTACATAGCGAGTTGTCGCGATATGTACACACATGATGGATGATGTTACACTTGTTACACGTCCTGTTGCTCACCCGCCATTGCGTCACTCCGTCTCCCTTTCCCCTTCTTCGTCTTCGCCCTCACCCTCATCGTCCCTCGTCGCTGAGCGACTTTTCCGACGCCCGCGCTCTCTCTTGCCTTTCCCCACGATTCCACCCCAAGGCCTCCAATCCTCGCTCTTCTGATCCGGACCGGGTACCTGCGCGCCCACGACCTGACGATCACTCAACCTTTCTTGACGGACAGCCGCCTCGAATCGGAGTACCCAATCACTCAGGCGGCCCGAGGAATCGCCACGAACTTCGTCTTGAAATTTAGTCAGAGCATTCCCGGTAGGCCCGCGATGAATGAACCCAGCGGCATGGCGGAGGCGAGTCGGGGAATAAGAGTCGAGCAGCATGCGCATTGTGCCTGTCCTTGTCGTTTGGAGGGAATTCGCGCTCTGAATGGCCGCGTGCCGCGATTCCCTTCCCCAAATACACACGTGACCAGTGGGTGTGTAGTAGGGGATGATATTTGGTAGCCAGTCTGTCCACTCCGCGATGATATTGGGGATACCTCGGTACGGCCAGTCTGTGCCTTCGTCATGTGATGTCCAATCTTTTCGCTTGATGGTGTTGCGCACAGCAATAGAGATGAGTTGGATGTGGCATTCCAGCTGAAGGGAAGCAAGCACATACTTGTGCTTTAGATCGAGGAATGAAGCAGAAGGCAAGCCGTCGTAGAACATGTAATGGTAGTCGGCGTCTTCAAGGAGGCTTCGGATTTGGTCATACATTTCGGAGAGGCGGGTTCGTTCTTCCTCGAGCAGGGCCATACACTGGCGAAGGTCTTCGGCAGCCTTGTAGAGCTTCCTCGCTTCGGACCTGGCTTTGACCCGAAATATCAGATCCTCAATTTTCGGCTGGACGTTGTACGGTTCGTTATGGAAGACGTGATAGACTGACTCGACCGCCCTCCGTGCAATGCGACCCTCACCGTGTCCTCTCTCGATCCGCGCCTTACTGTGTTGGATTGATAATACAAAGGTCCACTCCAGTAAATGGGTCCAGATATATTCCGGAATATCCAGGTTGTAATTGCGCGAGATGTAGTCAAGGAGCATGCCTCCCAGTGCGACTTCATTGTTCGTGCCGAAAACATGAACTACCGTAAATAAAAGGCGCGCAGAAGGCCGAAGAGGTGAGCCCTCCTCATAAAATGTGGGACTCTCCAACTCCTCCTCGTCGTACTTGTCCAGAGCGTCAACATCGATATTCCAAGCCGACTTGAGAACGCTCTTGACGCTGCCTAGGTCTCCTTCGCGGCCCATCGCGACCATAAGATTGCAGAATGTTGCCTCATTACCGTTCAGCCCTTGGTTCACGAGCTCGTTGAAGATGCCCAGAGTTTCCAGCCTGATGGACTGTTCACTTTTGGGATTTTTGGGCGATGCGACTCCGTGGCCAAAGAATCCGAGCGGTCTGGTCTCCAATGATCGACGAAACATGTTATGCCGGACTATCCGTAGTCGATATCGTTCGTGTCTATTATATGCCTCGTTCCAGGTTAGGGCCTCCATGAAGTAGTTGTAACAGTCCAAATCAGGTTCAACAGCGTCCTCTCTCATGGCTTTGCGAAACACATTCCTGGCAAATGATCCCACCCCAGCCGCGGCTGTACACCGTAAGAGATGACGATATATGTCGAGACCTAGGGAATGGCCATGTTTTTGTCGCTGAGTAACCAGGGAATCAAGGATGTTGATAAAAGTGGCCACACGCTCTTCCAGTGATCTGACTATTCGAAACTTCGGCTGCGTCTCTAGACTCGGCTTCAAGTAGCGGAATAGCTTTCCATAAGGAACAATAAAATGCTCGGGATCCAACGCGCAGATGGCACGTGCGAAGGTCTGGTCGTCTGCATTTTCAATGAAATCGTCCCCGATTTGAGGTGTCACCAGTCCCAAGAGTATACGGTCGGGATTGTTTTCTTCCAACAAGGCCTGCATAGACACCACTTTCCTTGCTCCATGAGTGGAATCCGCTGGCGGTACCTCATCAATTGTATATTCTATCGGAGAAGGATCATCGTGTTCGTCTAGGAGGGTCGATTGCTTCGGCAATATGAAGGGAGAAAAGGACACGGTCGTAGAGTATGACCGGTCGAAACGTCGTTCACAGCGAGCATTGGGAAGGCATAGTCCTTTGTCCCAGTGCGCCGGGGAAAGGGTTTGGCGACGGAGAATGTGAAGGGTCAAGTGAGGTATCCGACTGGGCGAGGGTTGCGAGAAGCCATTGATCA